GGGAGATACTCAGATTAAGTGCAGTGAAGGCCTTCTCTACAGTAAAGGCGATTAAGCAATAGAACTGGTTACATGTGGAGGACCATGACATTGCTTCAGAGATTGCTTAAACTTGGAAACCCTTACCTGTATACACTACATGTACAGACGAACAGAGCATGAAGCGAACAGAGCTTGAGGTGAACAGAGCTTGAGGTGAACAGAGCATAAAGTCCTCCAGAGGGCCTTATAGGCCCACCTTGTTTTTGATCATGGACAGCTTTCTTTCTTTTTTTTCTTTTTTTGGTACCGGGGGATTGAACTCGGGTCCTTGCACTGGCGGGGCAGAGGGTGGAACCGCTGAGCTAAATCCCTGGCCCCAGCTTTTTATTCTTAGGAACCAAACGCAACAGCCTTCCCATTTTAAACTGGGCACATCTTGGTTGATTGCCACAGAAAAAAAAAAAAAGAAAGAAAAAGAATTGTGTTTTTCTTTCTATTCTCACGTTGAACACAAAACCCTTCTATGTCCAAGATATGTGAAGATTTTCATATCAACCACTAATTTTCCAGTAGATACTAACTAGGAGTCCTAGAATTCATTTCAATTCTGACACTGTCTCTCTGGAAATATCAAGGAAGGACTGAGTCCCAGAAGACTGAGGGTGTTAATCTGTATCTCCGACAGGCTGTTAAAAATCAGGGGTCCCATGACCCCTTCCTTGGGTTCACTTAAGTGGCTAGAATGGCTCACAGAACTCAGGGAAGCACTTGACTTACATTTTCCCATTTATTATAGAGGATATTACAAAGGTGACCAGCCAGGTAGAAGAGATGCACAGGGCGTGGTGCATAGGGAGGGGCATAGGGCTTCCATGCTCTCTCTGGGTACTCTATCTTCCAGGTACCTCCACATGTTCATCAACCTAGATCTTCTCCAAACCCAATCTTTTTGTATTTTTACGGAAGCTTCATTATATGGACGTGGCTGATTACATCACTGGCCATTAGTGATCAACCCATCTCCCCTCAAAGGTGGAGCAGTGGGGCTGAAAGTTCAACCCCCTAAGTTGGTTCCCCTGGCAATCAGCCTCCATCCTGTAGCTCTCCAGGAGTCCACCGAGAGTTGCCTCATTAAAACAAAAGATTTTCTTACAACCCAGGAAATTCCAGGGGATTTAGGAGCTCTGTGTTAGGCACCCCATCACTTCATTACAAAGGTCTTAGGAACTAGGATCAAAGGCTATGTTTGATAACAAAAGATTCTCTTACAACTCTATCTTTGGTTTTAGGCGGTTTATGTTGGGAACTGGGGCAGAGGCTAATATAGGTACCTCTTATCATATCACAATATCACACTGCCCTTTCTCCTTTCCTCCACAGGATCAGCCTGGGGTGTTGTGATTGCAACAGGAGACTCCACAGTGATGGGCCGAATTGCCTCACTGGCATCAGGCCTGAAAACTGGCCAAACCCCCATTGGTGCTGAGATTGAACACTTCATCCATCTGATAACAGGGGTGGCCATCTTCCTTGGTGTCACTTTTTTTGTACTCTCTCTTGCGTTGGGCTATGGCTGGCTAGAGGCTGTAATTTTTCTCATTGGCATTATTGTGGCCAATGTACCTGAGGGGCTGCTGGCCACCGTCACGGTGAGTATACAGGGTGGATGGTGGCCTCTGGGCAGACAAATACCCCATGAAAACGAAATCGCTCATATATTTTTTTGTTGTTGAACCTCTCAAGGGCAGAGCATTCGTGACATGTTTATAGATCAGAAATAATTTAGCTTCCAATATCACATTGGCTTTTTCTGCCATACTTTCTGGTGATTTTTTCCTTTCTCTTCAATGAGAGAAGAAGGTCATCAAGAGTGAGTTCTAGTCCTGGAGGTGCTAGCTGGTGGCCTTGGCCGAATCACTTAACATCTCCAGGCCTCAATTTATTCATCAGTTTATAGAGAAAGATTCATTTATAATCTTAGAGCCCTGCTGGGAAGGACTTCAGAGGCCCTATAAATTCAATCTTTGAGCTGATGCTGTATATTCTCTATAAAACCTGTGAGAGAGAATTACTTTTGTTTTGGTACCGAGGATCGAACTCAGGTGCTTGCACTCTTGTGAGACAGGTGCTGGAACCACTGAGCTAAAGCCAGGCCCAGGATTACATTTTTTAAGAATAGGAAATACCCCTTTTTTTCTCTGCCCATTTCATCATTGGATTGCCATAATTAAGTTTCATTATATTGAGCAGAAATATGATTCTGTTTCATCCTCATTTTCCCAGCTGAAAAACCATAAAATAAGTTGGTTCTGTCCTACAATCTAGCCCTTTAAATGAGAGAGAGAGGGAGGGAGAGAGAGAGAGAGAGAGAGAGAGAGAGAGAGAGAAAGAGAGAGGGAAAGGCTAGAGAATTAAACCCAGGGCCTTGTGGATGCTATGCAAGTGGTGTACCATTAAGATACATCCCCAGAACCCTTAAAATTTTTTTTTTTTTGATACTGGGGATTGAACTCAGGTCCTTGGGCTTGCGCAGCAGGTGGCCAAACCACTGAGCTAAATCCCCAGCCCTTAAATTTTTGATGGTAGCCATTATGTCCCCTCAAATTCTCCAGGGGGAGGAAAGGTAATCCTTTGTCCTTTAGTCATTCTTCCTATGACAAGGTCTTTAGACTCCTTGTCTTGCTGATGACATGTTTGGGGTATCAATATTCTTCCTAAAATAGAAATGAGAATAATGCTTGGGTTGTGCTTGGACTAATATGAAAGCATTGGGACTAGAGATACTGTGTAAATATATTATGACCCCATGATTAGAATTCTGTACTTACATTAACCATAGACTAAGAATATATTAGCTTTTGAAACAACCTTGCCATACACCTTACTTGTATTGAATTTATAATCAACAAACCTCTTCTCATTTAAATGATTTCTCAAGTCCTTTTCAGTGCTGTGATATTCTTTCCCAATATCATCATTCTCTCCTTGCTGTTCTTTTTAAAGCTATGGGTACAACTCCACCTCCACACATAGCATCTTATTCCACAGTAAAAGAGTAGCTGGCACTGTGGTGGCTGGAAAGACTGGACCTGAGAGAGGGCATGGCCTGGATTTGAATGGGAAAGAGGCCTCTGGGCAGAACAGCAGAAAGAGCTTAGGGGAGCAGTTCACACTCTCTGATCCTCTGACAAAGGAATACGTGGAATCTCTTGCCAGAAAGCACAAACCAAAATCATTCCTTAATTTCCTTTACCATGGCCTCAGATGGAATTGTTAAGGAGCACGGAGGAACACAGTGGAAATAAAAGTGAACACATTTTCAAAACGCCCAGTAGTGTGAGTAGTCCCTTCTGTCTGTCTATTCTCTCCCTGCTGCTGGCTTTAGGTGTGCCTGACGCTGACAGCCAAGCGCATGGCGCGGAAGAACTGCCTGGTGAAGAACCTGGAGGCGGTGGAGACGCTGGGCTCCACGTCCACCATCTGCTCGGACAAGACGGGCACCCTCACCCAGAACCGCATGACCGTCGCCCATTTGTGGTTTGATGGAACTGTGCACAATGCCGACACCAGCGAGGAACAGACTGGTGACTAGTGGTATTGGTGGACCCAGAGTGGCAGATTTGGGGGAGTGTGATGGGTAAGCTGAGAGAATCCAGTCACAGAGATGGCTGGAGAGCTGAGTGGGGAGAAGGGCAGGGTGGGAAAGAGGATATGAGTAACTCCCTGATTAAAAACTTTCCTATGGCTCACAGTTCTTTCCTTTTTTCTACCTAAGGAAATTCACCAAGGGCTCTGATACCTGGTTTACCCTGGCCCAGATTGCAGGTCTCTGCAACCGGGCTGACTTTAAAGCTGACCAGGAGACCTTGCCCATAACTAAGGTGTGTCGGGCCCAAGGGGAAAGTGGGTGCCTCAGTTTCCAGGGTCTCACCTTCGCTGTCCTCAGACTTTCCTTCCTGGTGCTCGGTGATTTCTCCCAGATGCCCCTTCTCCCTGTGGCCACAGGTAAGCCCTGGGGCTTATTATACAAACTCATCCTGGCAGCGGGAAACAACAGGGGATGCTTCAGAGTCAGCCCTCCTCAAGTTTGTCGAGCAGTGTTACAGCTCCGTGAAGGAGATGAGAGAGAAAAGTCCCAAAGTGGCAGAGATTCCCTTTAATTCTACCAACAAGTACCAGGTACAGAACTGACAAAGATAGGAGACAGGTGGTGGGGGAGGGGCTCGCCCGTGGGGAAGGGGAGCTTTGCCTTGGCCTTCAGCCTCTCTTCCAGCAGTGGGATAGCTTGGGAGAGAAGCACCTCAATTAAGAGGAAGTCGCAACTCAGGAAGAGGTGACAAACAGGCCGAGAGAGGTGAACCAGGTGACAAAGGAAGAGGCGTTGCATCCTAAGCAGAGCTCTGACTTGTGCCACTTGCAGAGAAAGCAGATCCAAAAAACTGCTCTCTGAAGTGTTGCGAAGGGACAGAGACTGGTTGGTGAGAGTCACGTCAGAGTCACAAGCAGCTGCCAAAGGCGCCTGTGTCTACCATGAGGTTTGCCACTGCAGAATAAGGTCCCCTCTGCAGGACATTCCATTTTCTTAGCCATCGAGGGATTCCTTTCACTACATTCCTGCATTTCCAGTGGCTACTATCAGGCAGCTGGTGATTGAGAGTCCCCAGCGTGGTTGTGAAGTTTTCATTTCCCAGGGACTTATTAATCCACGACCTAGGGAGGAGTAGACAAGAGAAAAGGAAATGCTGAGTGAGGGACAGGAGTGCACAAACAATAAAATCCACAGAGGGATGGGGAAAAGAGTATTCTACCAAAAAAGATTCTCTTCCAAGTGAGAATCTTGGCAGACTTGAAGAGAAGGCTCCAGTAGAAAGTAGGCGACAATGGTTTTTACTTTTTTTTTTAACTGTATATCCTTTTATTGTTACATTTTAGGTATACAATATAATGACATTCATCATTGGAGATATGCACCTTTACATACTCTCTCTTGGTTTTTATTTTTCCCCCTTCCCCTCCCCTCCCTCCAACCCCTCCATCCCTCCCTATTTACAGACTTTGTTTCCTTTTTTTCATTTTCTCATATTAATTCTATTTCCTACTTTCGTTTCCCCTACCCCTTCCCCTTTGCCCTTTTTCTACCTATTTCACATTATCTATTATACCTTTTAGTCCTTATTTACACTTTCAGTTTCTTACACTAGAAACTATGCGGTATTTACACATGTGTGGTCCTATTTATTTCACTTAAGAGTATTGCCTCAATGTGCATCCAGTTAGCAATAAATGTCTCTAATTTCTCACTTTTGATGGCTGAGTAGTACTCCATTTAATTAAAAACTCCACATTTTCTTTATCCAGTCTACAGTTGATGGGCATTTGGGCTGTTTCCAAGCTTTAGCTATTACAAACTGTGCTGCTATGAACATGGGTGCACATATATCACTGTGGTATGATTCTTTTAATTCTTTGGGGAAGATGCCCAGCAGGGGAATAGCTGGGTCATCAAATGGGACTTCCAGTCCTAGTTCTTTGAGGTATCTCCATACTGATTTCCACAGTGCTTGCACCAGTCTACACTCCCACCAGCAGTGGAACAGGGTTCCTCTTTCCCCACAGCCCCGCCAGCATTTGTTATTCATTGATTTCATGATAGCAGCCATTCTTTCTGGAGTGAAGTGGAATCTCAGCGTTGTTTTCATTTGCATCTCTCAAATGACCAGTGATGTTGAACATTTTTTCATATGTTTATTTGCCATTTTTACTTCTTTGTCTGAGGAATGTCTGTTCATTTCAGATGCCCATTTTTGGATTGGGTCTTTAAATTTGGGAGGTCTGATTTTTTAAAGTCCTTTATAGATTCGAGATAGTAGACCTTTGTCTGAGGGACAGCTGGTGAAAATTTTTTCCCACATTGTGTGTTGTCTCTTCACACTGCTGGTGGTTTCTCTTGCTGTGCAGAAGCTTTTTAGTAAGAAGAGATCCTACTTGTTGATAGTTTGTGCTAGGTCACATGAAACTGAGGTTTTGTTCATGAAATCTTTTCCTACACCAGTGGGTGACAGTGGTTTTACCACAACTGGAGCTCTCTTGGTCACCTGAGTTCGATGGGTAGGTTGGGGCTTGCTTAGAGGAGTGCCCCAATTCCCCACATTGGTGTAAAGGCTGGGTTTTCAGGTTTATGTAACAGAGGAAGAATGAAGCCCCAAGTCAGTTTTGCCTTTCTGTCTTAAAAGCACATAATAAAATAACACAGTCTATGTAGATTTTTTTTAAACAGTTACCTATACAGTATATTCATATTGAATACTAAGTAAGAGTTAAATAGATCCATGCCTTCCTGTCTCGCCTGGTTTTTAGTTGGTGTAATAAAATAGGTCTCCTAGTCTCAGACTGCAAATCTGATTTCCATTTTTTTGACATTTGGTGGCCTCAGTAACCAGACAGGAATTCTGTGGCTTGGCAAGGCCAAGTACAGCCTTTGGAAAGAATTAGATACCTCTCCCTCCATGTGATTGAAAATAAAAGCAAAACATACTCATAACATCAATAGGGTAGCCAACAAATAGCAATGTTCCCTAAAATGACTATGTTAGAGATTCTTCTGGGCTACTGAATATCCAGTTCAATGATAGGACTGTCTTTCAATGTACACACATGGGACAGAGTAGCTTAACAGGTGCCTGCTCTGGAAGACTGAGTTAGCTACCTTAACTAGCTCGCTGTCAAGGTAGAGTCCACTTGTTACAGGGGACATCTGAGCCTACTGGCCATTTCCAAAGCTTGCTGTCTTTCCTTCTCTAATATGGAAATGAAAGGAAAATTTTCTGTTCAGCCATTTCCAGTTTCTCCCTCCACCTTCTCTACCTGTAATCTTCTATCAAGATATGATTTAGCTGTGCACTAGCTTCAGCTGGTCTTGCTCTCACCTCTGGGTCTTTTATTTATTCAACCAAGATTTTCTGAGCATTCAGAAAATTGAGTTTTCTTAACATTTTACAGCTTTCTGCTTAAGGAGTCAAAGGTTTTCCTGTGAACTGTTTAAGCATATTTTGAATATAATGGAACAGTCTCTAATTGCAATGGCTGTAACCACATTCTACAAGCTGGTTTCATACCCAGCTGCCTTTGGGGCATGCTGTCTGGCTCCCCTGGGCTCCCACGCTTCCTTTCAGTGCACTGACTTTGTTCCCTACAGGCAACACAGCAGGCATTTCCTATCAATCAGAGGCACACACCCCCTACCACCTCAAAGCTGGTATGACAGTGACCCATGCCTGTAATCCTAGCTACTCAGGAGGCTGAGGCCAGGGGATGGGAGGATCACAAGTGTGAAACTAGCCTAGGCAATAGAGTGAGACCCTGACTCAAAATAAAATTAAATTAAAAGGGCTGAGGTTGTAGCTCAGTGATAGAGTGTTTGCCTAGCATGCACCAGGGTTCAATCCCCAGTACCACAAAAAATTATTTTTAATTTAAAAAATATAGAGATACTCATGGAGAGTTCCTTTTCATGGATCAGAGAGCAAGAGATACTGCAAAACCTAAACTGATCTTTTATCTCTCTCCTGGTTGCTGTGTTCTCCTCAGGCTCACCTCATGAATATGCCCTCTCCCTGTCAACTGTACCTACACACTAGCTAGCAATCTCCTGGGACCCCTGATGACTGTAACAGAGTGGGCACCCGGATGCCCAACCTATAGGCAATTGCTTCACAATTTTCCAAGGTTTTTGGTTTGGTTTTTTTTTTACGATTCTCCCACATAAAACCCATTAAAGTAGGCAAGGTAGAACCTTTTACATTTTATGGAAGGAACTTAGGGTTTTTCAGGGTTAAGTGAATTGATCTGAGATAGTAATACTAATAAGGCATTCATTGTTGGCCCTAGAACTCAGGTTTTACTCTTGATTTTCCCTTGGATTTTGGTTTGGTTTGTCTCACTGTGTTGTGGGCTGACCTTGAACTCACTATGTAACACAGGCTAGCCTGGGACTCAAGACCTCCGGCCTCATCTCCCGAGTGTGAGGATTACAGGGGTGAGGCACCACACTCAGTAAACATGGGTCTTTGGGCTCTGATGTTCTGTTTCTTGCCTACTTGGCCATGTTCTTTGCCAGTAGTGAGAGTGTCTACCCTCAGAGAGCTCTGAGATTCCTGTGCAAACACTACCAGGCTGAGGTTTCCTGGGAAGGGGAGCCTGGCGCAACCTTGAGTCTAGTTTGCCTGGGGTAAATGGGACAAAGGAAATGGTGGGGAAGAGCATGAAACACTTTGATTGTCATCTTTTACCTTCAAAACCTGAAGCTGAGGTAAGACCACGATTTTGTTCCCAGCTTGGGCTACCTAGCAAACTCAAGGCCAATCTGAACTATATAATGAGACCCTGTCTCAAAAAACAAAAAAGAACAAAAAGGCCTTCTTCTCCTTGGCTTTTGTGGTGCTCCTGGCTTTCTCCTCCTGTCCCACCGCTGCTTCCTCTCCTCTCTCCAGCTGTCCATCCAACGTCAGGAGGATGGCTCCCCGGGCCATGTGCTGATGATGAAGGGTGCTCCGGAGAGGATCTTGGAGTTCTGCTCCTCCTTCCTCCTGCATGGCCAGGAGTTCCCAATGGATGATAAAATGAAGAATGCCTTCCAGGATGCCTACTCAGAGCTGGGAAGTCTGGGGGAACGCGTGCTAGGTGAGGTGCTGTGGGAGCACCTTCATCAAGATGGCTGTTTGTGGGCTGAATAGTTTAGGATATGGGGTGAGTGGAATAAGGACACAGAAAGACGAATGACTACTGGCCCCTTCTTTCTCTCTCCAGGGTTCTGCTTCTTAAATCTTCCAAGCAGCTTCTCAACAGGATTCCCCTTTAACACAGATGAAATAAATTTTCCCATGAGTAACCTGTGTTTTGTGGACCTCATATCCATGATTGACCCTTCTCGTGCTGCTGTGCCTTCTGCTGTGAGCAAGTGTCGTAGTGCAGGGATTAAGGTAAATTCCTGCCCACCCCAGACAATCTTGTCATAGTTCCAAGATACTAGTAGGAAGCCTTGCACAGAGTAGTTAGTAATCTTGGCTTAATGGAGTTCTGCCTCCTTGAGCTTATGATTTTTGTTTGTAGTTGTATTTTGGGGTCTTTTTTTTTTTTTGAGATGTCTCACTGTGTTGCCCAGGCTGGTCTCAAACTCACGAGCTCAAGTGATCCTCCTGCCTCAGACTCCTGAGTAGCTGAGACTACAGATGTGCACTAATACACCTGGATGAGCTTATGATTTTTTGTTTTAAGAGATATTTAGGGGCCGGGGATTTAGCTCAGTGGTGCTTTGCCTGTCTTGTGAGCGCAAGGTCCTGAGTTCGATCCCGGGTACTGAAAAAAAAGAGAGAGATATTTAATACTACCTTCCCTCTACATCAAGAATCTTATCTTCCATTGGACATTAGAGTAACCAGGAAAGCTTGAAAAACCTGTACCTCCAAGATCCCTTAAATTAGAAATTCTCAGGATGGTCCCAGGCATCTGTATTTTTTTGTTGTTTTTTTTTGTTTGGTACTGGGGATCACACTCAGGTCCTTGAGCTTACGCAGCAGGCGCTGAAACCACTGAGCTAAATCCTCGGCTAGGCATCTGTATTTTTAAAATTTTCTAGAGATCTCAAGGAGCAGACAAGTTTGAGAATCAGTGTCCAGCACAGGGCTTCTCAAACTGCCATGCCTGGGAGTCGCTAGGTGCTGAGGCCAAAGTTGCTGGTATACAGATGACGTGAGGAGGGGCAGAGGGTAAGGAGCTGTGGTGTCCGTGTGTTGCTGGGACGAGAGCCTAAGGGGAATGGAGGCTGGAGATGCAGCCATAGTGTCCTCAGTGGGTCTGACTTGGAGTGAGCAACTCTCCTAACAGCTTTATGTCCAGGAGGGAAAGCTAGAAATGAAAATAAATTGGTCCAAGAGTAAAAGTCAGCTGAACAAACCCAGAGCTGGGAAGTCCTCTCTGGACTTCACGGATGGTAGCCGTGAGATTCCTCTAATTCTGAGCTGTGGAGCCTGTGTTTCCCGAGTCAGAGACGCACATACAGCTTCACAGATAAGATATTGACACCCTCCCTGCTGGTTCCTTATATTCGGAAATCTTGCCTATCCTGGGTCCTAGGCCCAGGGGAGGGTAGGTTAAAGTAACAAGGTGGGGTATTTAGGTTTATTGGAACTGACTTTGTATTAGACCTGTGACTATGGGCAGCTTGTCAAGAGGTCAGTCTGAGCCACTGTTAGTTCAGTGATTGGTTGCTAGAGAAGGAAACTAAGCAAGGATGTGGGAAATTGTGAGCGAATTCTTTAATCACTGTCTTGCAAGACTTCTGAGGTGGTAAGTTTCTGCAGAGATAGCACTATTAAGCACTTCCGCAGAGAGTAGCCAAGTTACCCCCATGTCCCCTGAGATCCTATAAACTACCACATCACACTATGGAAGGGGTTCCTTTGAATTTTCTGAGCCTCCATGTAGGCTATTAGAATAGGAATAACATTGTGGATGTAGTGTAAAATTTGTCTCACCCGGAAGTTTATGGATCCTTTTAGGAAGAAGATAGTCACAACTGTGCCCACCGGTAAGGAGACCCAACAGGAGGAGGGGGTGATTTAGTCAGGATGCCAAGCAGATCAGGATGTCAGCACAGCAAGAACCCTGAGGGCTGACCATGAACTGGCACTGAAGCAGAGGCCTCTGTGCTTTCTGGCCAGTCCTTGTTCTGGCACAAGTTTGCACGTCTCCCTGCAATTTCTTTCCTTCTTCTGGACTCTAAACTGATGGACATTTGGCAGACTCAGTGAGAAACTGTGAATCGTCTCCTCTTCCCCATGGGGGAGGTTGAGACATATACATAGCTCTCTCCTTCAGGGAGGGTAAAATGGAATGGACACGCAACAGCTTGTTTCATGTATCTACTTGGAAATGGTATTGGTGGCAAGCTGACAGACATTAGCAGGATGCTCAGTAAAAGTGGTAGTGGTTGCTGCATGGACACAGAGATTTTACAAATAAATGATGGGGGACAGAGCTTTCCAGGTAACTACATGCTCCCAACTTTGGAATAAATGTGATTTTTTAAAAATTAAAAAGTGTTCCCATTACATTTACCATTAAATAAGGATCTCAATAATATGAAGATACAAGGGCTTTGCTTCAAACCTCCCCCACTCCCACCCCCAAGAATTGCAGGCAGGCTTTCAAGGCCTTTGTGAGATCCTTTGGTTGTGTTACCAACACTGGAAAGTTGCCCTCCAATGGGTCTGATCTGGAGGAAGAAGACAGAGGAGATCAAGAGGGTGGGCTGCAAGGCTGTGTGGGAACATCAGAGGTATAGTCAGCACCAAGAAGTTGGAAATGACTGTTTTTGGTATTTGATTAATTCCAGAAACTTCTCGAAGTGCTTTACTTCAAAGGGAACTCTGCTTCTATTGTATGACTGTGTCTCAGTGTTTGTTGGAGACTGGTTCATGGGGTGACTGATGTAGTATTTTTACTTCCCCAGCTTGGCATGGAGCTAGTATTGCTGCAAGGTACTAGAGAACCATTCATGTGAAGTCAGGCTGGGCTAGGTGGTAGGTATGTCCGAGAATGATATCACACCTTGTCCAGCAGATTTCAGGTCTCTGATAAGTCATTGGGAGGCTTAAAGGTGCTATAAAGCAGAACACTAAGGGCTCAGTCTGAACCACATCTGAAAGGCAGTCTTCTGTGCAGTCCTCTCTCAGGTCCTTGCCTGTTACCAGGCATCCCACAGGCCAGGCTTGTAAGGATCCAATGCCCTCAACCTACACTGGACATTAGTGGTTGTAGGTAATAGCTCAGTGAAACTTTCACTCTGTCTCAGGTCATCACAGCCTGATTAGCACTTTCCTGTCCCCTTCCCAGTTCATCAGGAGTATGGAATTGAGGACCAGGAACCCCAGAGTGGGTTCTTTGGGGAAAACTCTTCCCAGGCTTATTTCCATCAGTTTGATGGTTTCCTCTTCCCTCCCATCAGAGTTTGAAAAGCTGTGCTAAGTGGGAACCTTGGGCAGTGGCTCCCACATCATCCCTTCATTCTCTCATTTGATAATTATTTGTTGGTGGCTTACTGTGTCCTAGGCATTGTGCTCAGGCAAGAAACTTAGCAAGCATCTCACCTTCGAAGAGTTCTCAGTCCAGTGGGAAGAGAAAGAAGCAAGCAATCACCACACTGAGAAGTGAAAAGTGGAAAGAACAGAATGCCATGAAGACACAGAGTGTGGGCAGCTCATTCTGGGGTGGGAATGTGACAGAACTAGATACCCAGTAGCCAAAGACAAGTTGAAACTGAGGGGCAGCATGAGGGAGAGGGACGAAGACAGAGTGAGGATCTGAGTACCCTCACTCTGGTGAGGTCTTGATGACCACTGTGGTGGTCTTGATGGGATGTTAGGTAGATGGATATTCTGGACATTCCTTTATTACCACTTGTTGTGTGTGTAGGTGTTTCTGACTTGGCACTTAAGAAACAGAATCACTTATGGAGCAATTAAATACAACTCTGAATATGGTAATACACCCACATCTCTGACTTACTCTTGGAGATCTAGAACACCAATCATCCTGTGTTTTATGGTCTGATGGTCCTGACCCATTCCCGAAGATTGAAGCCACAGTGGCAAGGTATTTGGTATCTTTGACAAGTTCTTAGGAATGAGCTATTAAAATCTTTGTGGAATGAAAGTGGTGAGCTATGAGAGGAGAAAGAGAAGACAGCCAGGCTTCTCTGAGGATGATTCTGCTCCTCTTCCTCTCCCCCTCCCAACCCAGGTCATCATGGTAACAGGGGGTCATCCCACTACAGCAAAGGCCATTGCCAGAGGTGTGGGCATCATCTCAGAAGACACTGAGACAGCAGAGGACATTGCTGCCCGGCTTGACATCCCTGTCAGCCAGGTTGATCCCAGGTAAGACCCCCAAAAGCTCAGATCTGTCATTTCCCCCTCAGCCTGCACTGCCCAGAGCCCAGTTACTGAAGTCCTGGAATTCTCCTCCCATAGGCAAGATTTTGGGGTTTACACATTACAATTAAAATGTAATAGAGAAATAATCAAGTGAATATGTCTGGGTTTTCAGAAGAAGCAGTAGCAGGAAAGAAAGTAGAGGAGAGTGGTTGCCAAAGGGGGAAAAAGATGGGAATGTGTGTGTCACTTTGGGGACAGTGTATGCTGAGGACAAGTGACAAGACTAGGTTGAAAGAAGAATCAGTAAAGGTTGGTTAGAGGGTATGAGGAGTCTCAGAACCAGCCTTCTGAAATTCTTTTCCTCAGTAAAACCAAAGCCATTGTGGTGCATGGCTCAGAGTTAAAGGAGATGAACTCAGAGCAGCTCAGCCAGATCCTCCTAAGCCACACGGAGATTGTTTGCCCGAACCTCCCCTCAGCAGAAGCTCATCATTGTAGAGGGCTGTCAGAAGTTGGTAAGAGGGGCAGGGGAGCTTGGGCAAACCTAGCAGAAATCATGCGGCAGAGCCCAGCCTCCAAACAAGCAAGGGAACATGTGGGCTGAGCTTCAGGAGACTCCAGACAGTATCCCATCTTGAACCTCCACGGTGGCCTTTGCTTTGGGGGCTCCCTGAGAGTTGAAATTATCTCAGGGCAACAGGAAAAGGAAGGCCCAGGAGTCCGAGATCAACATGAATTCAAGAAATGAGGTGCTGGAATCAAACTAATTTTGGGGACTAGTCCTAAGTCTAACACACTAATTTTTTTCACTCCTACTTTCTGGACTTCACCAGGGAGCCATTGTGGCGGTGACGGGGGATGGGGTGAACGACTGCCCTGCGCTGAAGAAGGCCGACATTGGCATTGCCATGGGGATCACTGGCTCTGACGTCTCCAAGCAGGCGGCCAACATGATCCTGCTGGATGACAACTTTGGCTCCATCGTCACAGGCGTGGAGGAGGGTGAGGAAGAGGCAGGGTGCTCAGTTAGGTCTTGATCTTCAGACTTAGTTGGGTTTTGGAGTACATCACCCTCATCCCTTTTGCCCATCATCCAAGCTCCAGGATCCTGTACAGACTCCAAAAAAATCACTGTAAGACAAAATTTTGTAAATTAGATTCAGCAGATACTTAGAACCACCGCCCCCCCCCCTTTTTTTTGAGATTGGAAGAAAATCCAGATTTGCCAGGGAGGCTGGGGGCTGGTGTAGGACAGCATCTTCTTTGTCTTCTCACTGGGTTCAGGTGTGTTTAGAACATGCATGGACCTACAGCCCCGGGAAACTTCTGTACTCCACAGTCTTCAGCAGGGCCCCTAGAAATGGTGACACATCGAGACTGGTTGGAAATCATCATGAGTTGACTTCATGCACCCACTTTCCCAGAGAGTGCTGAAAGAGAATGTCCATTGGTGAACAGGACAGCCCTAGAATACTGTACCCAGGTTCCCTGCTTTCTGCCTGGAGCTATCTTACTAAAACATGACACGACACCCCACATAATAATAATGGTCACACTTTATTGAAACCTAATATCATCTTAACCCTTTAAATAGCCATTCAATTAAAAAATTCTTTTAAGCACTGGCTGTGCATGCAATGCACTATTCTAGATACTGGGAATACAATGGTGGGAGAAAAAAACACATGAGCTTCTGCCCACATACAACTGAATTTCTAATGAAAAGAGACAGACTACTGTCTGCATACTATGCAAATTGCGAACTATGTTAAGTGCAATGGAAAAAATAAAACATGGAGGGTGGGGAGGGATTACAGTCTTTGAAAAGGCAGCCAGGGAAGGACTCAGCAATCTTGCAGCACAGGAGAAATGATGGTCAGAGAGATGAGAAGTACCCAAGGTCACAAGCTGGTTATGGCAGAAAGTGAGATTCAAACCTAAGTCTGTCCCAAGCCCAGGCTCTTTCCACTTCAGGTTCAATCTTGTAAAGGCTTTAATACTGGTATTCTCAGACTTCTCAGCATTGGCTAGGTCTAACTCTGCTAAATTTTCAGAGATCAGATAACATTAGCCATTTGAGTCCAAGAACAAAGAGTACAGTCAGGACATGCTACTAAATCGTGGCTTTAATTAATCATCACACAATTTGGAGACAAAATCAGGACTGACAATGTCTGGGACTTCCAGCCTTTTCATGGACCATGATAGTTCTTTGCAGTGGTCTCTCTGTCCAGGAGCTCGTTGGTGAGCGGTACCTTCCGGTGCTCCTCACAGAAGGTTGGCCTTCCTTTGCAGGTCGCCTCATCTTTGACAACCTGAAGAAATCCATCGCCTACACCCTGACCAGCAACATTCCTGAGATCACCCCCTTCCTGCTGTTCATCATCCTCAGCATCCCCTTGCCTCTGGGCACCATCACTATCCTCTGCATTGACCTGGGCACAGACATGGTGAGGACCAGGCTGGGATGTGGCTCTGGGAGCTCCTGCGAGATAGACTAGGAATAGATAAAGTTTGGTTGGGGGGTTGGATAAAGCTGGAGCTACTTGTGAGTTTCCTTCTGCACTTTGTGACTCCATCATTCCATCGCTCTATCCTCCAGATACCTGCTATCTCCTTGGCTTATGAGTCCCCAGAGAGTGACATCATGCAGAGGCATCCACGGAACCCAAAGACTGATAATCTTGTGAATCACCGTCTCATTGGCATAGCCTATGGACAGATTGGTGAGCACAGAGCAGTGAGGCGGGGAGGGAGAGGGGAACAGCTGCCCGTTTGAGCCACTTTAGTGTGGAAATAGGGAGCTATTTCCTCAAACACAAAACGCACTAGGCCTTAGCAACACAAAGAGCTATTGATCTCTGAGGTGCCCTTGACTTAGAGCTCAGTAAAAACGAAACAAATGTGTCTAAAATGGTAGCATCTTTCTACATGCCAAGTAGTGAGTGTAGACCTAACATGCAAGCACAAAGCAAGCAAGCTCACCAATTTTGAGGGCAGTCAGAGAGGTTTTATGGGAGAAAGAGAACTTGAACTTGGTGTTGAAGGATAGAGCTTAAACTAAGTACTGTATATAGAGAGGTGTGGGTCCCACAGGGGGAGTTCACATGGCATAGTTAGAAAGGAGTGAATAGACCAGTTCGGTGGCATCTTGGTCTCCATAAGGAAGTAGTAGAAAGTAAGGCTGTAGATATAGATAGCATTTATATTGGGTCCAGCCTAGAAAGACATTTGAGTGCCATTAGAGGCCTTTGTTCATGAGTTGCCAGGTACAGTGGAGTGTTTCAGGGGGTAGAGTGAGGGATGGACAGGGAAGAGACTGTGAACAAGGAGGTCGTTGCAACATTTAGAAAAGCAATTGTGTAGAAAAAACAGACTTAGGGGGCCGGGGATTTAGCTCAGTGGTTTCGCCGCCTGCTATGCAAGCGTAGGGACCCGAGTTCAATCCCCGGTACCAAAAAAAACCCAAAACAACAGACTTAGGAATCAGACCTATGTTTCAATCCTAATTTTACCACTTCCTAACTGTATGATCCTGGACAATGACTGGCTTTTGTATATGTGTTTCAGTACTCATTCATGAAACATAGACAACAGTTCAGAATTGTGAGGATCTATGTCCACAGGTACTGACACCACGCACAACTCTGTGGTTAGTAGACAAACATTAACATCATCGTGGCCCAGGCATGGGAGATAGAAATTTTATCTAAGAGAGAGGCAAAGGGTAGATAGCAGAGATGTGATGAGAGGCTAAAACCTGATAAATGTCCAAATATCAGAGGAAAAGTAGCCGTCTAGCTCTTACAGTTTTAAGATGATGTGACTCAAAGATGACAGTGGGTTGGAGTTTAGAAATTAATGTCAGAGCTTGACGACAAGTCCCTTGGATGAGGGATGAGATGGTTGAAGGCAAGAATCTTCACTCTGTGCAGACACACACCAGCCCAACAGAGGCGGGGCCCAGCCTTGGCCCCCTACATGGGCTGCCTTTGGGGTACCTTCTATGGCTGTCCTGACTCTGCCACTTGTAGGGATGATCCAGGCTCTAGCTGGATTCTTCACCTATTTCGTGGTCATGGCTGAGAATGGCTTTACACCTTTCCATCTGCTGGGCATCCGCCTGAAGTGGGATGATCAATTCTTCAATAACCTGGAGGACAGCTATGGGCAGCAATGGGTGAGTAGACAGGGTGTGGTAGTGGATAGCGACAGAGAAGAACGAGGAAGTGACAGGAAGAGTGAGTTTAGCACATTTTTGAAAAGTGGGAGAAGGGAGGCACCAGGCAGAGTAGACACCTCATCTTCAGTCCTATCTGAGGGCTCAAACAACTGACTGAAACCTCCAATCACATCCACAAACTTCTTGTTTACAATGATCAAATTTCTGCTCATTTCCACATTTTGTTGTACATCTCACCTTCCCGGATTCCTTGCAGCTGGGGTCTTCTTTGTCATGTAAACTCTTCTGGGGTGACTTCTGTTTTTCCAAGTTTTGACCGTGACTGGCCCCAAAATGAAAGCTGCATCCTCTCCTGTTACACTCTCTCCCTTCAGTTCACTTAATATGACTTAAAATTGAAAAAACTTACATTCTTTTTTGTGTGTGTGGGCCAGGGATCGAACTCGGGACCTTGCGCTTTCGAGGCAGGTGGCGGACCCACTGAGCTAAATCCCCGGCAAACGTATATTCTTTATATGTGCCATCCTTACCATCCTAAATTTTTTAAATGTAAAGGATGCCTCTCTGTAGTCATCTTTCTTAACATCCAAGGTAAATGAGGGTCAAACTGAAACCCTTTCCTCAATAATATGTGCCCAAGAACTTTAGTAAATATGCTTTTTTGTAACTGAATACTTCCATCCCAATTTCTTTCTTTCTTTTTTTTTTTTGGTACTGGGGATCAAACTTGGGTCCTTGCCCTTGCGCAGCAGGCGGCAAAACCACTGAGCTAAATCCCTGGCCCTTCCATCCCAATTTCTAAGCCAGTGAGGCACGTGATACCAACTATCCTTAGAAGTATAGAATCATAGCCTGTTATCTTTACTCATTGTGTAAATAAGGAAACTAAATCTGGAAAGATTTAACAACTTGCTCGAAGTCCTGCAGTGACTCCCTAGAAGAGCTGGACTAGGATTCTGGACTGTTGTTTCCTTTCTGGCATTTTCCCACTTCACCGTGATACCTCCAAACTAAGCTAGTTGAAGATTTCTCAAGAGCATGTTCAGATATGAGTTGCTGGAAAGATGCCTTTCATATACATGTGGGTTCTGCCAGAGGAGCTCCATGAGGCCATCAGACGTCAATGTTTCCAGTCACCAACGCTGCTCCAGAAGCCAGTGGTGCCCAAGGTCCGTTGCATTGTTCTGCCTGCCGGTATCTCCTCAGCCCTCAACTGAAGCCCTTGTTAGTTTTACATCCTGATACCTCCTCACTGCTGCCAAGACACAATGTGACATATTTTAATTTATGATAAATTAAAGATAATTAAAAGTAATTTGAGATAACAAGAACTACTTGTACAATGAAGACATCATAAATTTAGTATTACAAAAATGGGTTGAGAACAATTGCTCTGAGTAACAAATTCCATAAATGCAGGGTCCACTCATGTCTCTTGCACAATTGCAAGTATTAGATCATCTAACATAAAGGTCCCCACCCAAGGAGTATGCTACTTACTGCTAGAAGTGAGAATAGCTCCTTCTCTTCTAAATATCTTTCACTATTAATCCTACGGATCACAACTCATTCATGTGTTTAGCCAGTATGTATTGAGAATCTGCTGAGCCAAGGATTTAGCTCAGTGGTTCCACTGCCTGCCTTGCAAGCACAAGGTCCCGAGTTTGATCCTCGGTGCCAAAAAAAAAAAAAAAAGAGAGAATCTCCTATGTACCAGGTACCATTCTAGGTTCTGGGAATATGTTAGTAAATGAACATAATCAAGTTACTGCACTCATGGAGCTTATCTCTAGTCAGCAGTGGAGGGTGTTTAATATATAAATATCAATCATAATATCCAGTCAACAGATTGGAAGTCCAAGGGAGTCCAAGAAATGTGAGAATTAAGATACTATAGTGAGGGTTGGGGATTTAGCTCAGTGGTGCTGCCCCCTGCCTTGCAAGTGCAAGGTCCTGAGTTTGATCCCCAGTACCAAAAAAAAAAAGATACTATAGTGAGTGAGATGGAAGGATTAAGGATGGTGAAGAGAGACAGGAAGATTCTTGAAATTAAGATTATACGGAAATTGTAGATGTTGGGAAGGATAATATCTAAAGTTTAACTATGGGAGCAAGCAGCCTACTTGGGGAGTGGAGGACAACAAGTTAGAAAGAGGGAGATGAGAAACAGTCAGTCCTTGGTATTATAAGGATCATCAACACGAATATTTAGGTCTCAGAACAAAAACTAAGCCAGGCAAGGTGACATACACCTGTAACCCCAGGCTGAGGCAGGAGGAGTGCAAGTTTGAGCCCAGTTTGAGCAATTTAGCAACTTAACAAGACCCTGTCTCAAATAAATGACAAGGGCTAAGGTTGTAGCTCAGTGCAAGGGCCCTGGGTTCAATCCTCAGTACAGAAGGGGAAAAAAGGACAAGAACAGCAGCAGTAGAATAACAGTGACTCGAACTGCCTGACTAGCATGGTGTGGTGGCCGCACACGCAGACATGGCAGAGAAGCTGGAGCTGAGGCTCAAGTCGCCCGTGGGGGCTGAGCCCGCCGTCTATCCATGGCCACTGCCGGTCTACGACAAACACCATGATGCTGCTCATGAAATCATTGAGACTATTTGATGGGTCTGTGAGGAAATCCTGGATCTCAAGCTGGCCATGGAGAATTACATCTTAATTGACTATGATACCAAAAGCTTTGAGAGCATGCAGAGGCCGTGTGACAAGTACAACCAGGCCATCGACAGCATCCATCAGCTGTGGAAGGGCACCACCCAACCCATGAAGTTGAACACACGCCCGTCCAACAGGCTCCTGAGACACATCCTGCAGCAGGTCTACAACCACTCGGTGACCGACCTGGAGAAGCTCAACAACTATGAGCCCTTCTCCCCCGAGGTGTATGGGGAGACCTCCTTTGACCTGGTGGCCCAGATGATCGATGAGATCAAGAAGACCCAGGACGATCTATTAGTGGACCTCGGCAGTAGTGTAGGACAGGTGGTCCTCCAGGTTGCTGCAGCCACCAACTGCAAACATCACTATGGAGTCGAGAAAGCAGACATCCCAGCCAAATACGCAGAGACCATGGACCGAGAGTTCAGGAAGTGGATGAAATGGTATGGAAAAAAGCATGCAGAATACACACTGGACCAGGGAGATTTCCCCTCAGAAGAGTGGAGAGAGTGGATTGCCAACACGAGTGTTGTATTTGTGAATAACTTTGCCTTTGGTACTGAGGTGGATCACCAGCTGAAGGAGCGATTTGCAAACATGAAGGAAGGTGGCAGAATTGTGTCCTCAAAGCCCTTTGAACCTTTGAACTTCAGAATAAACAGCAGAAACTTGAGTGGTAAAAAAAAACAACAACAACAGTGACTCAGAGCTAAAATCTTTAAGAAATGATGGGAAGGGACCCAAGTGAAAGTAGCTGAGTGCTGTGAAGGGCAGTGGTTGTGATCTGATGCACACAAATTTGCTGACTGGTCTGATTCTAAGTTCCATGCTTGGCTCATCAACTTTCAGCCTTTGTTTCTTAATCACTTAAAACTTTAGATTTCTCTCCAAGTACAACTGTGACCACATCTTGTGTGGCTTGGCATGTAGCATCTCATTACTGTGCAGTCCTACGTATTTTCAAAGTTCTTATTTGATCTATGAGTTATTTATAAACACACCATTTTTTTAGCATAAGCTTTTTTTCCCTCCAGTCTAATTTAAATGCACCTCCTGTGTGTCCCCACAGCCCTCTGTGATCTCACTCTTATAACCTATCTCTTGTACTGGCATAGTTAGCATATTTATCTCTCCCACTAGACTGTAAGTTCCTTATGTGTGAAATATTAACAAAAGAAACAAGGAATGAATCAGTGAATATCTCCTATCTACCACTCCTTAGGCATTCCTTTTCCCTGTGTTCCTGTTGCCCTCTGGCCCCACCTTCTTTCTGACCTATGACCTCTGACTCTGCTGGCCTAAGTCCACCTTCTTCACACCATACTTCTTAGTTCAGTAAAGATCTGCTGAGCCATGCTGCATGCCATTCCCTGAACTGAGCATGGGGAAGGGCATAAGGATAAATAAGGCCTTGTTCTTCAGGAGCTCCTAGTCAGGTAAGGAAAACACATAAGCAAATCATAACACCACAGGAAAAGTACTAAGGCAGAGACATGTGGAAAGTGCTGTGGGAGTCCTGAGAGGGAGGACCTAACAGCGCAGGGGTCTGGGAAGGGAGGAGAGAAAAGAGCCTTTGGGTGCCTCTAAACGCCTTCTGACACTAATGTCAACTCTCTGCCCGCCCTCCCCAGACCTACCAGCAGCGGAAGGTGGTGGAGTTCACGTGCCACACAGCCTTCTTTGTCAGCATCGTGGTGGTGCAGTGGGCTGACCTCATCATCTGCAAGACCCGCCGCAACTCTGTCTTCCAGCAGGGCATGAAGTGAGCACCACCAAAAGGCCCCATCACTCTCTGCAGCGAGACCAGCAATTCCCCCATGCCTTTTCCTCATCTCAATCACACTCATAAATGTTTCTTCCCAGAAACAAGGTCCTAATATTTGGGCTCCTGGAAGAGACATTACTGGCGGTTTTTCTATCCTACACACCGGGCATGGGCGTGGCCCTGCAAATGTACCCACTCAGGTAAGGGAAAGGATGGCAGCAGGCAGCAGGTAAGTCTCCAGGCACAGCCAGGGGCCGCCTGGATGGGGGGGGGGGGGGGGCTGCATCCAGTGACTTGCGCTCCAGGAAACAGAGCTCCTTTAGGGGGGTAGGCAAGACTGTGTCAAGTGATCATAGGTATCAGACGTGCACATCTAGCTGCCCACCAGTGTTTAACAGAGAGGCAGCTTTCTTTAGGGTGACAGGTGGTGTAGCTGTGCAAGGATACATACTATGTAAAGCTGAAGTAACCATAAAAATAGCCTAATCTAAGCTTAGCTAATTCCACTGTAGTTAGGCCAATATGTTTTGATATGTATATGTGTGAATGAACACACTGAAATTCTGTCTGGTGCCTTGTCTTGTTCAACTCCTAGGATTTTGTCATGTTGTTTTCATTTTGGTTTTGGATTGGTTTGGTTTTTTGACACATGACCTCGCTATACAACCCAGGCCAGACTCAAACTCACAATCCCCCTGCTTCAGCCTCTCAAGTGTTGGGATTACAGACATGCACGACTGCACCCAGCTATTCTGTTCTAACATGAGATATGCTTGCGGTCAGGGCCAGGGATGTAGCTTGGTGGCACTGTGCCTGCCTTGCAAGTTCAAGGTCCTGAGTTTGATCCCCGGTACTGAAACAATCTGTTAAAGATAAGCTTGTAAAAAAAAAAATTTTAAAAAGATAAGCTTGTGATCTTTCAAAATTTTTAAATCTACACAAAAGGCAGAAACACCATTCCATGCCCAGCCCCATTTGCACACCCTGCACAGACAGCCTCTGTTAATGATTTAGTGTGTATTCTTCCAACTCATTTACTGTGCATTTACATTGCTTTACTCGCCTTTCCATCCCCTGCAGTGTTTTACACAAGCTTTTTACAAGGTGGGTGCTCAATTAATGTTTAACAGGAGACAATGGCATTGGCCTTAGATACTGAAAAGACCAAGTTTGTTTGATTTTGGGGTTTTTTTTTTAGTACCAGGGATCAAACTCAGGTCCTTGCGTTTGGGAGGCAGGCGGCAGAACCACTGAGCTAAATCCCCAGCCCTCAAGGCCAAGTTTAAATCTCTACTTTAGGCTATTCTGTGACCTTGGAGAAGTAGGCAGCTTTTCTGAGCCTCTGCTTCATCTGTAGTTTCAATAATACACACACCTTCCAGGGCTGGGGATGTAGCTCAATAGTACAACACATGCCTACCATTGGTAAGCTCCAAGGGTTTGGTCCTCAGCACCCCTCAGAATAAACCAGAAACAGAAACAAAAACACCCAACAAAACAAAACAAACAAAACTCACCTGGCAGAGTGTTGAGAAGAATTAAACATAGAAATGGGTGTGTGGGGCTCATGGTGGATACTTTGTTAATAGCAGCTTTATTGGTACTTTTTTTTTTTTTTTTGGTACCGGGGGATCAAACTCAGGACCTTGTGCTTGCAAGGCAGGTGGTGGAACCTCTGAGCTAAATCCCCAGCCCTTGTTAACAGCAGCTTTATTCTTGTTGCATTAATGTACATAAAGAAGTAATGGCAGATGCAGTGACCACTATCTGTCCACTCTTCTATATACCTTGACTATGGTGCTCAGCACCTCATCCTGTGATTCTTTATTTTGTGTGTGCATTTACCCTCTTTTCTCTGATCCCCCTGAGCTGCTGGAGGTCAAAGGCTATCATGGAGCCATTTTTATTTTGCCAATACCTAACCCAGAGGCAGAGTGGCCATCCCCACTGTCCAGTGGAAGAGTGTCTATTTGTCTGTCAGAGTCCGTACCTGCAGTGTGCCTGTGTGAAGAACGAAAGATGGCTCAGGCTTGCACTGTCCAATATGGAAGCCATTCTCCTACGTGACCACTGAGCCCCTGAAATATGGCCAGTGAGCCTGAAGAACTAAATTTATTATTTTAATTTTCATTCACTTAAAGCTTAAAAAGTAAAACAGTATTAACTATTTCCCTATTAAATACAACTTTACTGTTTTGGTTGGAGCACATTTTCTCTTAACTCTTAAAAATTCAGTAGCTGGGTTGAAATGTGCCATCAGTATAAGATACCTATCAGATTTCCAAGACTTAGGATGGAGGGAAGGGTGTAAGCTATATTCATCAATAATGTTTATACTGATTACATACATTGAAGTGATATACTTTAATTAAGTCAAGTAAAATTATTAAGATTAATTTCACCAGTTTATTTTTATTTATTTTAAGATAGCTATTAGAAACTTTTTTTTTTTGTTATGTAGTTCAAGCTGGGCTTGAACTCACTATGTAGTCAAGGCTGCCCTCGAACTTGAGGCAATCTTTCTGCCTCAGCCCCCTACCTGCTAGAATTATAGGCATATGCCATCACACCTGGCCAGAAATCATTAAACTCCAGACGTGGCTGACATTGTATTTCATTTGGGTGCCATTGGTTTAGGCCATCTCTTCTCTTTGTCACCCAATGGAACAACTGTGGTCCTGATTCAGCCCTTCTCCAGAATCCATCTTTCTTGTATCTAATTATAGAAAGGGACTCAGGAAGAAAAAAAATGCCCCCATGTTTTGCAGTTTTGGAAGAATATAAGAAATTCTGTCCAGTACCTTGTCTTGCTCAACTTCTAGGCTTTTGTTGTGAGATGTGTATAAATATCCCATGCTAGATGTCTAGGGGCATCTCAGATTGAGCCATCCTGCTCTGGAGGTGCAAGGCTTAGGATACACAGAAAGCAAAGGGCATCTCCCGCAGCAACTGTGGACATCGGAAGATAAACTCTAGGAACCCTGCATGAACCTCTGAATGTGACACTTACCATGTTATCCTCAGTGTTTCCATTCTCTCCTCTGCACCCGACCCTCAGCAAGGTTCCAACCTCCTCAAAGGGAGGGATTGGCTGTACCTCGCCTCAGTCTCTAGTACGTGTCACGATCTTGGGCACAGAGCGGACACAATAATGAGACATAATATTCCTGGGCAGTTTGCTGTGCCCGCCCTTCTCCTGCCTCCATATCATCTGCCACACTGACCAACTCTTACTCTCTGCAGGGTAACCTGGTGGCTCTGCGCCATTCCCTACAGCATTGTTATCTTCATCTACGATCAAGTCAGAAAACTAATCATCCGTAAACGACCTGACAGTGAGGCTCCCCTGGACCCTGCTCAGAGTGGCCCCAGCCCCATGACGAGCTCTCCCATCTTGCCTGATCCCTGCTCACCCACAAGCTTCACCCCCACCTCACTGCCCGCCCTTTCTGTGCCCAGGCCCAGCTCTCTCCTCAACCCCACCACCCCGCTACTCCAGTGCTCAGTGCCATGCTCCAGACCACAGGCCTCCAGCTTCCTCTCCATCCTGCTAAGTTGCCCTTGGTGCCTCCCCTGCAGCCTTCTCCCACCTCACTCTGGTCTCTGCTCTTCCACAGGCTGGCTGGAGAGGGAGACGTACTACTAACCTCAACAGAGGAGCTCCGAATGACAGGTGTCACGAGAGCCTGGACTACAAGTTCACATAACATCTGAGAGAGCATATGAGTTGGGGGCAGAGACACTGGTTGAACAGCCCCGGATAAGAGAAGACTGGCAATCCTGAGGCTGGGCTGAGGGCGTCACAGGGTAATGGGGTGGGTGAGGGGAAGCCTAGCAGGGAGGGGCATGGTCCTGTTGAATCCAGTAGCCAGTTAAGAGAGTAAATGTTTGGAACAGCCTTCACCTGGCTGAATGTGTCACATCTGATTTTTGAGGAGCGGGATCTTGATATCTTCCTAGTAACCAGGCAAGGGAGGATGGAAGAGGATCAGAATCAAGCATCCTTGCCCCAGAAGGGTCTCCCCCATCTTAATGTTATTCTTGTTCTCTTCAAGAGCAAGGGACGGATGCCTGCTCCAAAAGTACAACTGCAGCTGGGGGAGGGGGTGTGCACGCCTGTAATCCCAGGACTTGGGAGGCTGAGCCAGGAGGGTCACTGTGAGCTCGAGGCCAGCCTGGGCTACATAGTGAGTTTAGGGGCAGCCTGAACTACAAAACGAGACCATGTCTCCAAAAAAAAAAAAAAAAATTCAAAAGTACAGTTGAGGCGGGGCATGGTGGCACACGCCTGTAATCCCAGCACTCAGGAGGCTGAGGCAGGAGGATTGCCATGAGTTCGATCCCGCCCTGAACTGTCTAATGAGACTCTGTCTCAAAAAGCCTAAAAAAAAAAAAAAATTTTAAAAAGCGCAGTTGGGATCAGAAAATTGGAAGAGTGTGGTGAGGGAGGAGCAGCTGGACCACTCAGACCCACACCCAGGTTGGTGAGGCCGTCTCATCCAGCCCCTGATTTGGACCTCCTTGGCCAGCACCAGAGCAGAGCTGGAGTGGAAGCTGGAAGAGGCCTGAGCATTGAAGAACCTCAGGTCCACAGAGGTTAAATGAGGGGAACAGTCACACGGCGGGGAAGGTCCCTCCTCTGAGGCAGTGATGGCCCTGCCCTCTGACCCTGTCACTGGGGTATCTCAATGTCACCCCAACCCTCGGCCTGACTCTCTGGTGTAGTCTTAAAACACAGGCTGCACAGATTCCAGGCAAGCACTCTGCACTGAGCTACCCCAGGTGAGCCTGGTGCTGCCCTGCCCTGGTGAGGCTAAAGTCCCAGGGAGCCTCTCCTCCGCTCACGCCCTCCTCCCTCCCTCCCACACCTGCTCACTGAGCCCCTCCACTCTGCCCCATGGCTCAGTTCATTCTCAGTTATCTTCCAGAGTAGTGGGTTGTATACAGAATGTGAGAAATGCTCAGGAGAGCTGGAGGGACACCATCAACTGTCACCAGAGACACAGCACAAGTATTAAGTGCGTGCTGCGCACGGGGCACCATCAGTGAACTCTCACACATGTATTCTTACCACACCATCCTATTTCACAGATGAGGAAACCACGGTCTGACTGAATCCAGAACTTGTGCTCTTCACCTCTTTGCAGACCAGTCACACTGAGGGCTGGACCAAAACACAAATACAAAACGAAAACCAAGCACAAGATGAGGGGAAGAAGGGCCATGGGCTGGTCCGGAAGATGAGACCAGCAAGGACGGCCATCCACCAGCAGGTAGAGCCGGCCTCTCTTTCCCCTGTACTACACCCTTTCCTGGAGGTCTGTCTCTCTCCCATCTCCCTATGTCCCACAGCACAAGGTCTCCCGGGGACAAGGCTGTATCACTCTAGGGTCCTTCCCTGCTGCTGACATGGCTGAACCAGACCCTGGAAGACAGAGGGGCCAGGAGGTGTGCAAGTGGGGTGGGGAGGGGAGCACACAGAGGCCAGCTCCTCCTCGGATTTCCACAGCAGGAGCTTTGGGTGTCTGGTGGGTTAAAAATACTGAGGCCCCAACTCAGGGTCATTTGATACCAGTGGCTGAAGCCTGTTAAACGCAAGGGCCTGAAGGCAGTGGCCTAGAGGGAAAGGGATGGAGCAGAAAGTAGAAAGCAAAGCCTCAGAGAGAGGAGGGGAGCGGGTGCAGGAGTTGGAAAGGAGGAGAGTGGACCTAGAGCCAGAAAGGCCAGCCAGGGGGAGCTGCGGCTGCAGAAGAGGTTAAGGAGATGGAAGGGGTGGGGATGACCACGAGCCCCACCTCACACACTCGGGGTACCAGCTCATGGTGGAACAAGTCTAACATTCCAGTGTCTGCGCCCCAGCCCCAACGTCTGCCCTAACCCAGAAGCCGCAGAAGGGAGAAACGGGCCCAGTCATCATTTGGGGCATTATTCTGGGCAGGCCTCTCTTGGCTCAGGCTGTGGGCTCTGGCACCCCAGCCACCCTCCCGGGAGATCAGGGGATGGGATCCTTCAGCTCTAATGTGCCATGCTCGGCCCGGCTTGGGCCTCTCCTACTACGGTGACAGCTGTCCCTCTTGGATCCACTCCTGCCGTGCTCGGGAGATTTTTTGCAGCTTTCCTTACTTAGTTGTGTAAGGTCTGCCCCATGGGAGGGGGGAAAGTTATTCTGCTAACATAATTTCATGTCCCATGCCCCTGCCTGGATGCAAAATAAACACTGCCTCCCCAAGGAGAGAGACTTTCATCTTGTGTGTCTCTGTGGGCTCCCTCATGCCTCAGTTTACCAGTGCATGCTAAGAGGCTTGGAAAGCCATGAAAAGGGTCCAGAGTGGAACTCATCCACTCGGTTCTCATCTACAAGCTGAGATCCAGCAGTTACAGCCCTATGCCCAGCTCTGCTTTGGGTGTTGGGTGTGCAGAATTCATCGACAGCCTTGGTTCAGGGCACAGGGCCCACCTCTTTGTATTTTCCTCGTATTCTTTTTCACCCCTACTTTTTATACCTGATCCTTTTTGTCCTGTCAAAGACATAGGAATAAATAGTAACTGTTAGCTGTCTTTGGAATCACACACAGCCTGGGGAATCCTCCCTTCCCGCTGTGCCCTAGAAAACCTCGTCCCGCAGGGGCAGGGTAGACAGTACATGCAGGAAGTGGCAGCCAAGTGACATTCCCTTCCTCACGGTGGACCTTATGGGCACAGGAACCCCAAATCTGCATCCATCCCCACAGGATGGAATGTGGGCCGGCCCTGTCCTCCCCTGCATTCCTGGGTTAGGAGTGTTGAGTGAAGCAAAGGAAACTGGCTGGAGCCAAGCCAGGTGGCCAGTCTTGGACTCTGGCTCCATCTTTTATTCAGAGAATGATCTCATCCTTGGTCCTGGTTCTTTAAAGGGAACCGCAGGGGGTCTCTGTCCTGCACCCTGGAATGCCCTTTTATTGCCCCCAGGATCAAAGAAACAGACTTCACTACAAAAGAGTCCCAGATTTTAGGACAGGGAGACAACACCACCTTCATTTCCTGTTGGACTTAAACAATCAATTTCGGCTCTGATGCGGGGTGATACTTCCTCCTTTCCATCTGCATTTCTTCCCGCTACTCTTGCCCTGCATATCCTCAGTGATTCCCAGTTACCCCTACACCTCCCCTCCCCCAGCCCCAGCTTCACTTACCTCCGACTCATCTGGTCTTATTTTTAGATCCCTCGCCTCTCCCTTTTCCTTAATATGGCGATGAGCTCTTGGGCCAGCACGGGGGACAAGGGCTGAGGAGCCCTGGACATTGGGGGAGGGGAGGAAGGAGCGGCTGGGAGCCTGGGGGAGAGGTGTAGGAGGTGGGACCTTTCTGGCCCTCATGGAGCTGTCCTGGCCTCAGAAGGTTATCCGTCTCTCCTGCCAACCACAGAGACATATTTAGACAGGACCAGGTGGGGACCGAGCAATGCCAATTTCAGGGGGCAGCTCCAGTTCTCTCCCCGCCCCCTGCTCCTATTCCTCCTCCTGACCCTCTTTCTCTTGGCTCTCTCGGTGGTTTCTCTGGGACCCAGCAGTGTCTTCTGTCCACTGCTCTGGGCCACTCCCCACCCCACCCCCACCTGGAGCCCCTCACTCCGGATTCAGCATCCAGGGGCCCCTCCCTATCCCAGCTCCCCTCCTCTGGATCAGGGGAGCCCTCCCAGATCCCACTACCTCCGTGCACGCTGCAGACAGGATGGGGGCCAGAGCAGTGCTGCTGTTCCTGCTGGTGCTAGGGACACTCAAGTCAGGGGTCCAGGGGGAGGAAGGGCTGGACTTCCCTGAGTATGATGGTGTCGACCGTGTGATCAATGTCAACGCAAAGAACTACAAGAATGTGTTCAAGAAGTATGAGGTGCTGGCACTCCTCTACCATGAACCCCCCGAGGATGACAAGGCCTCACAGAGACAATTTGAGATGGAGGAGCTGATCCTAGAGGTGAGTGAGTGGGGGGCTGCAGGCCTGCCATGCATGCTCAGCCCTCTCTTTGACCCCCATCTTACATCTCATATAAGATCATTAAGGGTGGGATCTCGGGCTGAGGGCAGTGTGGCAGGACCTCTGTGCTGACCAACAGCACACAACTAGTATGGGACCTTAGACTCGGGAACCCAACGTTAGGTAACTGTAGAGGGGGTGCAGCCAGGCAATTACCTCTCCATGCTGTAGGAAGCTGATGGTACTCACTAGATTTGGCTAGGAAGGAGGGTAGAAAAGGGAGAGGCAGGGACTGGAGGGCCAGGGGAGAACTGCCACGCAGTCCTGTGTACTGCACTCCCTTTCCACATTTACTCTCCTAGAAAAGCACATTCCTGCACCACATATGTAAGGGCTGTACTCCAATGAGGTCTAAACTGATCCTAAATGTAAATGTTATCAATGTCTTCTTTGCCAGTCACTTAATGGCTAAATGTTTGCATATCTCCTTGAGACCTCCATGCCTCTCACTGGCCTCCTAGCCCCTCTTTCTCCCTCCTTGCTCTCTAACTCCCCATTTGTCCCTATTGGATCAAGCTGGATGCCTTCACTGGAAATGTTTTACAGCTGAAAGAGGATTCTGAATGCCTTCCCCACTTTCTCTTTGTAGGAGGGGACTCTTCACCCCCAATCTGACTTCAGGTCTAAATCAAAGAGGATGATTATGTCCTCTCAGAGCCAGGATATGCTTGCGTTTCCCTGTACGAGTTCCCTTAGCCCCTTCTTGAGCTTGGTAGTGCAGCTAGGCCCCAGCTCATCCAGAGCTTGGAGCATTTCAAGGTGAGAGACCAGGACCACAGGCTCTCCTTTCTGTGTCCCTGCCCGGCACTGGAACCCACATCTGATTAATGAGCCAAGTATTTTTATCCTGAGTCCACAGTATCCTCAGCCATCCACCTGCCATCCTCCTCCCCTCCCCATCCCCCTAAGAATCGTGGTGCCCGAGGGTTGGGTGTGGTAAAGCTGGAGGCTGTGTCCATGGCAGAATGAATCCGTGTTGAATGCTGAGCTGGGAGAGACTTATGGGAGCAGGGGCTTCAGGATATGACTGTCCACAGCCTAAGGACTAGCTGAAATACAATGTCAGTGGGAAGCTGGGCCTGGAAGAGGAGAGCTCTCTGGTTTGTTTGTCTTGCTCCCGCCAGGGATGACAAGCGATGATCTCTCCTCTCTACTCTCAGCCTCTGGCATTCCCTACTCCTCAGCAATGCGATCAGACCCTTCAGCCCTGCCCTGTAAAATTCTTGCACTGAGAGTCACTCAGAAGAACCCCAGGGATTCTGACATCACCCTTACTCCAGCTAGGCCTTTGACCAAGGTAGAATACGTGGATGAACCCTTCTGGAGGGAAGTCCCCTCAGTCACTCTGAAGCCAGACTCTTCAACACCCCTCAGGACCCGGAGAATTCAAGCCCAGTGCCTTAAAGCTCAAATTAGTAGCACACTAACAGGTGGTACACGCCTGTAATCCCAGTACTCAGGAAGCTGAGGCAGGAGGACTGATCACCATGAGTTCCAGGTCAGCCTGAGCTACATAGTCAGTTCACGGCCAGAAATACAAAGAGAGACCCTGTCTCAAAACAAAACACCAAACAAAAGACATGCTACAGAGCTCAGTGGCAAAACTCTTGCCTACTATGCCTGAGGCCCTGGGCTCCATCCTCATTACTGAAAAACAAAACAAAAAAGCATGCTACAATTAAGCAAAAATATTCATGAATTTAAAGTTGAACCGAAGACAAAACAGGTAGAATTGTGGGGAATTGTTTAGGGATATTCTGAATCTTAGCATAGGGTCAAGGTCAACTCTTAGGTTTCCGACACCCTAGTTGACCCAACCCGAAAGCTGGAAGTGAGGAAGAAGGGTTAATAAGAATTTCAGGGGCCAATTTTAACCCCAACCCCTCCTTCCAGTTAGCAGCCCAAGTCCTAGAAGACAAGGGTGTTGGCTTCGGGCTGGTGGACTCTGAGAAGGACGCAGCTGTGGCCAAGAAACTAGGTAAGGGAGAGGAGGGAGGAGCAAGGGGGAGGGCCTGGGAGACGGGAGGCCTTGGTGGAAGAATTGGAAGAATTGGGGGCTGCCCTGTGATCTGAGGGACTCTTCCGCCACGTCTGCTGAAAAGAAGAGGGAAAGAAAATACTGAGATCGGGAGGGTAGTGGGTGGAAGTCCTAGCCTCTGCTCTATTCCTTATAAGAGTCACGTTCAGGGCCTGGGATTTAGCTCAGTGGGTCCGGTGCCTGCCTCGAAAGCGCAAGGTTCCGAGTTCGATCCCCAGTACCAAAAGAAAAAAAGAGCCAAGTGCCAAGTTCAAATTCTAGCACGAGATGAGGTGGCTTTTTTTTTTTTTTTGGTACCGCAAATCGAACTCAGGACCCTGCACTTGCAAGGCAGGTGTGGTGCCACTGAGCTAAATCTCCGGCCCGGGGTGGCATTTTTTAAACTTACCTAAACAACATGGCTAGACGCTGGAGAGAAGAGCCGGGAATGTAACCGGGTCTGGAGGAGAGGCCCTCGGGAACGCCTCCCTTGTTCCTCCCCCTCCTGAGCCTCGGCCGGGTGTCACAGCCCCGACCACCAGGGGGCAGCACAGGTTCGAGACCGCGTTCCGGATGTGGATGGGGGAGGGGTGGTTAGTAACAGTGAAGTCATTTGGTCAGTAAAGGCAGAGTTAAAGGACAGGACCGAAAATCAGCTATCAGAGTTCTCAGAGGAGATAGCAGGAATATATGTCTCTGGTGACGGCAGGCAGAGAAAGGAAGCAATACTGCTGGAATAATTAACTCCCTATTTCCTCTCCTCAAACCCTAGCTGACCCCTCTGCCTCAGCTTCTCCCTAGAGATCCTCTGCCACCAGTCCAGCCTCCTAGCTACATCGGGGCATGGACAGCAGGTGTAGGGCTAATGGACAGTGGAGGAAGTCGAGGTGGGGAAAGGGAGAAGTGGGGTCCTGTGGGATCATGCAGTGGGCTGTGACCTAGGAGTTAGACTTGGATCCGTGGGAGGGTTGGGGTCATGGTTCACCTCCCACTCCCTCTCTAGGACTAACTGAAGAGGACAGCATTTATGTGTTCAAGGGGGATGAAGTCATTGAGTATGACGGCGAGCTCTCTGCAGACACCCTGGTGGAGTTTCTGCTGGATGTGAGCATTTCCCTAGACTTGACTGCCTTGCTTTAAAGACACCACTGCTCCTCATCCCTACTAGCCCCAACCTTATTCCCCCTACACACACACACCACATACCACACACCACACACCACGCATGATACACACCATGCACACATCCACAGCCTGATCGAAATATACAGTGAATATTTGTTTTAAATATTTAGTACGGTAAAAGACATTTTGCTATTAATCTCCCTCAAAATACTTCCCCTTGCTTTGAACACATCATCTCATCATTCCTGCCACTTTCTGAAGCAGTTCTGGAAGTCTTCTTTTGTGAGTGTCTTTATGAGGTGTGATCAAAAATATGGTGAATGCTGCTGCTGTGCGTCATCCAATGGAAATACAGGCTAGCAAAACATCGGTGTGTCATCATCCACCTTATTTGCCGGATCTGGCACTGTGTGATTTATGGGTGTTTCCTAAAATCAGGATGACTGTGAAAGGTAAACATTTTGAATCAATTCAGAAATTAAGGCAGCCACAACGGCACAACTAAAGACATGAAAGAAAACTCCCAGAACTGCTTCAGAAAGTAGCAAGAAGGATGGAATAAGTGTGTTCAAAGCAAGAGGGAATATGGTGAGGGGGATTATTGCCAATGTGTCTTTTACTGTAATAAACTTTTAAAATTTAATTCACTGTATTTTTTTTTGTACTGGGGATCAAACTCAGGTCCTTGCACTTGCGCAGCAGGCAGCAAAACGACTGAGCTAAATCCCTGGCCTGATTCACTGTATTTTTTAATCACACTTTGTATACCACACTCACTAGACATACACTCAAACCAGACACATACATTCAGAACACACACATCACATGAAGCACACAAACCAGACACAACACCCAACATAAACATCACACACCACACATACCACATACTAAGGTCACCACCTCCCCTTTCTGTCAACATCTAACCCCTCTTTGGGCCGGGGATTTAGCTCAGTGGTTTCGACGCCTGCTGTGCAAGCTCAAGGACCGGAGTTCGATCCCTGGTACCAAAAAAAAAAAAAAAATCTAACCCCTCTTCCAGCTCTGACCTTCTCCCTAGGTCAGTGAGGGTGAACCTTTTAGAGTTTTCAGTGATAACAAACACCCTGCAGCCAGCCTACGCATGCCATAGGTTTGCCACCACTGCCCTAGTTCCTGCTCTGTCCATGTCCTACTATTAGGACAGAAACATTTGCTGCCTTCAATGTCCCTGCTCTTCAAGGTCCTAGAAGACCCTGTGGAATTAATTGAGGGTGAAAAAGAGCTTCAGGCATTTGAGAATGTCGAGGATGAGATCAAACTCATTGGCTACTTCAAGAACAAAGACTCAGAGCGTGGGTAACCCTGAGACCCCCACTTCTCCCCTCCCTGGATTCCCACCTCACTTGTCCTTCTGCCTGCCCACCTCTGCCACCAGCTTCACATCTTTGCCCCCTTATTTCTCCTGCATTGTAGCTCCATCTTCTGCTCTAATTTCCCTGAACTTGGTAGAGGGGTTTCCCAGACAAGCACTTCCAGCGTTCTACCTCTCCCGTTACAGCCCTAGGGTATTTTACCCCACTCTCAGATGACTAGAGGGGGTGGATCTCAGAATGAATCCCACCCACCAAAGAAGAGCTGGGGACAGACCTGAGCAGGATTGATTCCTAGGCAGACCCTCATTCTTAGAGACTGACTCTACTTTCTTCCCTCAGATTACAAAGCCTATGAAGATGCAGCCGAAGAGTTTCATCCCTACATCCCCTTCTTCGCCACCTTTGACAGCAAGGTTCTCCTCCCTGTAGCCAAATTGGGTCTCCCTACACCCTTAAGCTGCCCTCTGGCCCCTCCCAGAATTCACTGGGGCCTGGTCCCATGCTACATGCTCACATCCCCCCCCCCAACCAGCTTCTTCTACCCTATAGATTTTAGAGCTAAAGAGGGGCTTTATACTACCTAGCCCACCCTCTCATGTTAAACTGAAGCCCAGAGAAGTTAAGACATACATCCATTGTCACAGTGGCAGTGACAAGGACCCACATTTTCTGATTCCCTTCCGAATGTTTGCTCTCCTAAAATAACTGCTTTTCACTTTGACTCTGTGCCTCCTGCTCTATTCATCTCTTATTTCCTGCCCTAAAGGTGGCAAAGAAGCTGACCCTGAAGCTGAATGAGATCGATTTCTATGAGGCCTTCATGGAAGAGCCTGTGACCATCCCAGACAAACCCAACAGTGAAGAGGAGATTGTCAACTTCGTGGAGGAGCACAGGAGGTGGGGCCCGGAGCACCTCTCCGAGCAGGATAGGCTCCCCATGGGCCTAGAACACTCATTTTGGAGGTGGGCTGGGGAACTTCAGCTAACTAGGAAGCTGGTCTCTTCTTGCCCGGGCCAGTGCTTATCCACACCCTGGATTTTGCGCCTCAGTGCTTAGCATTGCACCTTACATAGAGAAGGTCCTCTGTAAATGTGTAGTTCACTGTGATGTTGACTGTGACTTAAATAACCTTTGTCAACACATGAGTGTTGAGTGCCTCTGGCCAGCTAGGACCTGCAAAGTAACTCTATTGTTATATTTAATCTTTTTTTAACAATCTCAGAGATAGAACCCCCCCCCCCATGGATCAGAACGAGGACTTTAGCCATGCCTTGTCCCATGTTCTTGCCCGTACACTACTCTCTATCAGTGGTTCTCAGGGGAGGTGGAGGAGCAGGAAGTAGGGGAAAGGTTTTGCCCTCCAGGGGATATTTGGCATATCTGCAAATATTTTTGGTGGTTTTTGTGGCTGGAGGCCAGCTAAACATCAGTGCGCAGGGCAACCTCTCCCAACAGAAAACTACCCTGCCCAAAATGGTCTGTGGCGCTGAGGTTGGGAAACCCTGCCCTGTACTCACAGGGTTCTCCTCCTTCACCCTGCTCCACAGCGGGAGATACCCACTCATCAGTGTAAATACCACTTGCTGTCTCCCACTAGACTGTGCCCCCTTCATCAGGGCAGGAGCATGTTTACCTGGGTCAGCTCTACCCAGCACCTGCTCAATGCTAAGAACATATCAGGCCCTCAGTGTTCTTGAATGAATGGATGAATGAATGAATGAATGAATACCCTGATGTTCATTCAGTTCTTACCTTTTTCCCAAAGGTCTCTCTTCCAGCCCTTGCCACCCTCCACCCCCCACCCCCCATTTTAACCCTGCAGTGATCTAGGCTTGGTGCCCAGAGCTTAAGCTTTGCTAGATGGCTTTGTTCTGGGCTATAAGCTGTCTGTGCCCTGGGGCTGACCCAGAGGCTGCCCTGCTGTGGGGACCCTCTGGAGGGAGATGTCCTTCTCATCCACTGAGTAGGGCTCTGTCTGCCTCTTCTAGATCAACTCTGAGGAAACTGAAGCCTGAAAGTATGTATGAGACCTGGGTGAGTGCCCCTGGCCAGGCCCTCAGGGAGCAGGGTGGCTGAAGTGGAGTCCTACAAACAGTCCATCCTGAGACTCCTCGCGCCCACCTGTAGAAAGAACAGTGCACCAGCAAAGGGGAAGGTTGTCTGTTCCAAAGAACACGTGTGGAGACAGACACGAGTGGATGGAAATGACAAGGGTGGAGTCCTGGGCTCTGGGGCAAAGGGATCTCCAGAGGAGGCGTGGGGGTCCTAAGCTGAAAGGGTCTCTGTGGAGACCACTCCTGGACCAGAAGCTGGCTTTCCACTATCCGGGCTAAAGGAACACCGAGGGTCTGCCTGGGCTCTACAGCCTCAGTGAGAGCAGAGAGATCTCTTTCCCAACCCCCACCCTGCTCTCCCTGTCACCCCCACAGGAGGACGATCTGGATGGAATCCACATCGTGGCCTTTGCTGAGGAAGCTGATCCCGGTAAGGCAGGAATACTGGATCAGCCTGAGGGAAGGCAGGGTGGCTTGTTTGTTGGAACTCAGGCTTCACGTGGGAAGCATTTCTGGGAATTTACAAGCAGCCTGGGGCTACACACGTGGAGGTACGGGAGGTGGGAAAGCAGATCTGGACTCCTATCCCTGGTGTCCCTTTGTTCTCTTTCAACCTCACTTCATACTTTTGTTTCTTCCAAGATGGCTACGAGTTTTTAGAGACTCTCAAATCTGTGGCCCAAGATAACACTGACAACCCTGATCTCAGCATTATCTGGATCGACCCTGATGACTTCCCTCTGGTAAGAGGCCCTGCTCGGGCATTGCTCAGGACCTTGGACTGTGGCACCTTCTGAGTGGAGGCTGGGTTTCAGAGTTCCTATTCCCATCTCTCATCAGGGGGACTTGGGAGCTTTTCCTGTTGCACACTCAAAGGCACTGTGGGCATGGAGGGCAACCTAAGCACAGGGAAGGAGGGTGGGAAGTGAGTCATATGGGACATCATACATAATTCCCAGAGCAGAGGCTAGACATGACTCCTACCCACTCACAGAATCATAGCAGAGATTCTGTGTCTTAGGGGATAGTTTGGTTCTCAGCCAAATCCAACACCTAGGACCCACTGATTGTTGAATAACTGAATGAACACACAGAAATGTGGGGAACGCTGGTACGTCTACCTTAGCCTAGAGATGCAGGAATTTGCCAGAGAGCAGGGATTTGCCCAAACTCCTAAATTCAATGTGCAGCAGATCCAGGATCAGAGTAGGGGTTTCCTATCTCCTTCTCCTC